TTTTCGGATGAAAAAATTTTTACCGTAGAAGAGAGCTACAACAAATAAAATGATAAGGTGTACGCACACAGTAGTGAAGAAGCGAGCAACCGTATTCCGCGTGTCCAACGAGGTCATTTTCTATCCTCGCTCATGGTATGGTTCGGAGTTTCTTATTGGGGCTTGACAGAGGTACATTTTTGTGAGAAAGGTATAAAAACGAATGCAGTTGTGTATCAAAATACAGTCCTGACGAACCTTGTGGAACCTGTTTCTCATACCATGTTCAATAACAGGCACTGGGTATTCCAACAAGATTCGGCGCCAGCTCATAGAGTGAAGAGCACACAAGACTGGCTGGCGGCGCGTGAAATCGACTTCATCCGGCACGAAGACTGGCCCTTCTCCAGTCCAGATTTGGTCATTTTGAATAAACTTTACGTGTTATAAGAATCTATGTTTTGTTAAGTTCATTTTGGTATATAAATGGTTACATAATGAATAAACTTGTTTCAATTATTTTATATTAAACATGTGACAGAATTTTTGACCTGACTAAGTATATATACACAATGTGTACATATTGTAACGAACCCCCCCCCCCATCATTTTTTTCTTTTTTACTATATATCCACTTATACTTGTATTTCTTTAGAATCTATATCTGTAAGATATATAAATATATCTTATTTACGTGACCAGTATAACTTGATCTTTCTAAAGGTTTAAATATAGGCCGTTTAATAAATTTATGGCGTGATCGTCTTAGTTAGGACCCTTTTTTACGTTGTGTTTGTATAGTAACTTAGTTCTTTTAGGTGTATCTTGGAAGAATGAATATTCACGAGAGCAATCGAAAGCTGTTGGTAGAGTCTTATAAGCTAAAGAAGCCGTTCACGAAGACAGAGCTCAAAAAGGTTAAGAACAATAAATTGTCCCTATTCCACTTGTATCTGGTTCACAACAGTCAATTCCTTATTAATTAATCCCTTCCCGCTTGGAAAAGGCTCACAATATTTATATCAAATACCAGTTACAAGGGCTTCGCTCTCCCACATTTTAAAAAAAATGTGGAGGAGGTACACAGCCCCACACACGCCGCGCACGGTGAGCGCCAACCATTTTAATGCGCTCCCCCCGAAGGGTACGCAAAGTTGGGAACTGGACCGTAGTCCACAGCAAAATAACTGGCGAACCAGTAAAAGAGGACTTGGCCCCTTGATAGTGCGTAAGCACAAACATCGACCGAAGTCGCGCATGTCAATGTGTGTAAACGCCATACAGAATACGATCAAATCCAGCCACAGTGAAATGTACGTCACACGGGTTAGGCAACAATCGGCACACTGACCATAAAAAGCCCTCCGTGAGCGCCACCATCTGCCAGATCGCCGTTTCTGCAGACGTGATGTAAGTGTAAGGCATCACCACCAATTGCATGGTCAGCACGGCCAATTGGCCGCAGAGCGTGTCATGAGTCTACCGCTCACCTCAAGGGAATGGGGTCCCACGTTGCGCAGCTTTCGGCCGCAGCCTTGAGAGCCTCCTCAGATTCTCCCTCCAGTTACCACCCGCATGAGGTCGACACATATGCTCCACCAACCAATACAATGGCAGATATAGCCAATAGGCAGTTATAAGATAATATTAATAATTCGCCATCAGAAAGGGTTTGTGTCACTGACGTTGAGTATATGCATTTTTCGATCATGTTTGTCTCACCCACCAACAAGTTGCCTTCAATCTCTCAAAGGTGGGAACTTTATAGAGATATATTATTAAGTTGTTATATAAAACATCATGGAGGGCAGATAGTCTGCAGCCCCGCAATGAAGGGACCCGACTTGGGCAAAGCTACTTAGGTTGTGAGTCAAACCAAGACGCAGAGAGCGCCATTGAGAATAGCGACCCGCCAAACAACCATCGTAGAGACGCAATGCTACAGAATGCAACAAGCATCAATACGACTATCGTCGGGCTTACACCATCCCAAGGTCCCTCATACAGTCCCAGCAGACATCACCACCCGCATACCTCCATCGACGAGAACCACAAGATGCATCGAATCAGGTGCAGCACACCCGCAGATCCATCACAAGACACAATACTGCAAGTAGCAGTAAGCATCAATGCAACTATCATACGGATGGCGCCCCCTCACAACACACCCACATGATCCCTATCGACTTTGGTAACAAAATTTGATAATGTTGTTAACTAAAAATACCACCAACGTATCATAGTAGCACGGTACTAAGACGTCAGTAGCCAATACTCCACGTATCATAGCGCTATTGCACTAAGACATGAAGTTGAGTATGCTTGCTGCACTTAAAAGTACTACCAAACACACTCACCCTAATCCGAAAGATAGCCGACGTATCATAACGCTATGCGCTAAGACGCCGCCCACAAACGGTAGGGTGTTCGATGTCCACGGGCAAGTCGTATTGCTACAACAAACCCGCTTACCACCGGCACTAAGATGATATGTCTAGGACACATCGGTTAGTAAGTCCAAGTTTACCTCGGTCTCAGAGGCTGCGAAGCAACCTACACACCACTATAATAATCCTTTTCAAGTCCCATTTCTTTCAATATAATGCTTTTACATATTTGAGACCTTCCACATATTTGCTTTATTTCATAGACCATACTACTGTATGTCTTATTCATATGGGACTTCAAGTCATAACTCTGCTATGCATCATAGAGACCTTCTATATTAATGCTTTGGTTCGTCAGACCTTACTATGTTAAGTCCCTAATATAGGACTAGTCATTGTGCAACCTTAGTACTAGCAGTCGGTCAGCCGACCACCCCATATATATGTACAACCTTGGGTATGTGTCTCCGACAACGCCCCAATATAAGGGAACATTACAAGAACACGTTCATTAACTTAGAAATTTTCCAATTATTACACGAACACCTTCATCAACTTAGAAAATTTTAATTCATTTTTTTTCTATTATATTACAAATGTTATTTATCTTTGTTATTGCAATATAATCGCCTTGTATTTATATGATTTGATACATTTTTAACATTTTAAGCAGGTTTTTAATAAATTTAGAGATTTTTAGAGACATTTTATGCGTTTACTAATATATATAATATTCAATATTCCAAATGGATATTTTTGAACTCTATGCTTATTATTTGCATTTTATTGTTTAAATTATAATTTCTATGACATTTTTAAATGTCTGTATAATGAATTTAATTATTATTTATTAATAATAATTATGAGGCGTCACAATCCACCCCCAAATTTTATGTTAATGATCCACATAGTGGAGTCGTTAATATAAAATTTTAGTATTTTGAGAGCATATACACTACACTCAAATAATTGTTTATATATCTGTTCTTTCCTCTTTTAATCTGTTACAATACGGCATATGTTATCAAATCCCCCTGCCCCAGAGAATGGCCGCCACCAACACCCCTTCAACCACAATTATCACATTGTGATAACACCATAATTCAAGTTATTGTATATTGTGTTGTTAATAAAGTTTGCAGTCAATTGTCGATTTCTTATTTTATTAATTTATCTTTAAATTTTTGAAACATTATTTCGATAGTGTCACACTTTATGTGCATACAATCCAGTTGGATATTTGTTGAGGTCAGTTCGATACCACATAGGATAAATGTGATTGAGCCATTCACCCTGACCCAACTCCCATATTTATTCAATAAAAATGATTACAAAATTATCTTACGATCTATATTTACAACTCTTCATTATTTATTAATAACGTTCTTCTATCATATAACAAATCTCTTGCTCATAACTTTAATAATTTTAGACCTTTAACTTAAACAATTATTTCCATGGGCCACCCACAAAACCCTTTTATGTTACAATATTTATTTAATTACTCTAATTTATACAAAAAGAAATTATTATTTAAAATATTTTAATAAGTGAATAGCATTAAAAATTCCTCTAATTTTGGTTTGTCTCTGGATTTGCTAAGGTATATACATTGTCAAATGGTACGGCTGCTATTACATAAGGTCCTTCATATGCCAAATTGAACTTACTCATAACTTTATTATCAGCGTCTGATCTACTAGATCTTGAAATTTTTACTAAGTCACCAATATTATATTTTATTAATCTATTTCGCTTATCAAATTTTGTGTTTCTTATTCGACTTGCCTCTTTTAAATTTTAACGCACTTGTTGTCTAATTTGTTCGACATTATGTTTGTCTTTACTTTTGGAAATTACTTTGTCAAAAGACATCTCATTAGACTCACCATAAAGAATCTCACAAGGCGTGAAGCCTGTACTATTGTGATAAGAATTATTATACAATTCTTCTAATTTCGGCAATATTAACGCCCAATCTTTGTGGTTAGTATGACAAAGTGTCCTAAATAATCTGCTCAACTTTTTAGTTACTCGCTCTGTTGTATTTGGTCTAGGATTTCTAACTGTGGTATATATTGGCTTTATATTTAATTCACTCATTGATTGTTTCCAGTGATTACTTACGAACTGTTTTCCATTATCTGTCATTATTGCCTTGGGCTTTATAATCTCAACAAAATGCTTTACTTTTGTTACAACAGACTTTGCTGTTGACTGTTTTAAAGGATATAATTTGATAAATTTACTGAATGAATCTTGAATGACAAATATGAAAGTGTACCCAAAGGTACCTGATACAAGTGGTCCATATAAGTCTGCCATGACTATATCGCCAATGTTTTCTGTTATTATAGATTTGCAGGGACCCACATATGTTATATTGCTTTTCTTAGATAACTGACATAAATGACAAGCCCTTAATTGGTTTTTAATATCTTTTGTTAAACCTTTCCAAAAGAATCTGTCTCTCACATATTTAATTACCTTATATTGTCCTTGATGACCCATTTCGACATGCACTTGATTTATAATATCTTGTCTCAATGCTTTAGGTAAATATATTACTTCTTGTAAATTCGTTTTGTAATATAATACATCATTTTTCAAACTATACCTTTTAAATTTATTGTTTTATTTTATTATGGAAGTATTTAATGTCTTTAACTTTTCAATAATAGCCAACGACTCTGAATCTTGTAATTGATATACTGATAAGGATTTTAATTTTTCTATCAACTCAATATTCGGTTCGCTCTCTGTGTAAGCAATTTCTAAACTATTATTTTTATCCTCTTGTATTAAATCGCCATCAGGAGGATAACGTGATAGCACATCTGCAACAATATTACGTCTACCCGATATATGCTGTACTTCATAATTAAATTGTTCTATATACAAAATCCATCGGGTTACTCTACCATTGAATAACTTCATATTATTAATAAACAATAATGCTTTATGATCAGTTAGTATTATTACTTTACTGTCCCTCAAATATGTTTCAAATTTCTTTAGGCAGCTTATTACAGCATAAAACTCTTGTTCAGTAACAGACCAATTTAATTCGGGGCCTTTTAAGGCTTTACTATGATAGTCTAAAATTCTCATTTCATTATTATCATCTATCTGATATAGTACTCCGGCCATACCCACACCGGAACAATCTGTTTGTAAATGATACGGCTTATTAAAGTCTGGATGATGCAATTGTATTGTATTAATAAATTGTTGTTTTATAAAATCAAATGCCTTCTGTTCTTTACCGCTCCATTGGAACTTTCGTCCCTTTTTAAGTAATTCACAGAGCGGTATTATGCTCTCGCTGTAATTTGGTATAAACCTTCTATAAAAATTGCATAGGCCTAAAAAGGCCCTTAATTGTTTAATCTTTTTAGGTGCTGGAAACTCTTGGATCGCTCGAATCTTATCGGGATCTGTCTTTATGCCTTCTGTTGAAATTATAAAACCCAGCATTTTAATTTCTTTACAAATAAATTCACATTTCTGCAAGTTACACGTTAAGCCAGCTTTGTTCAATTTACTTAAAACAATATCAATGTGCTCCAAATGTTTATCTAACGTTCCTGTTGTAATAATGGCTAGATCATCTAAATAGATCACACAAAATACTTGGACTTCTGGTCCTAATATTAAATTCATGGCTCTGCTAAAGCTTCCTACTGATGTTTTTAAACCTTGCGGCAAAACATTATATACATATGACTTTCCATTGAATGTGAATCCAGTATATTTTCTACCATCTTTATTTATCGGAATTTGAAAATATGCATTATTTAAGTCAATGGTAGTGATATAATTCGCTCCGTGAAATGAATTCAAAACATCTTATTGTATAGGTGGTTTCTCTGTTTCTGCAACCATTTTCTTATTTATGCTTCTGGCATCAAGCAGAACTCTAATTGAGCCGTCTTTTTTAAGAGTGAATGTCAATGGACTACTGTAAGGCGTTGATGTCCATGTGATGATACCAGCTTGTTCCATTTCCTTTAAATTTTCTTCCATTTTCGCTCTATATGCATATGGAATGGGATAGGACCTAGTAATTATAGGTTCATCATCGATCATTTCAATTTTATGCTCATGCAATTGGCTCTTCCCAATTTGCTCGAAAACATATTCTTATGCTTTTCCAAAACCTTTCTAAGTTTTGCCCTTTCAGAGACCTCCAATGTAGATCCTATTTTTATATTTATTAAGGGATCATCGGTACATTGTTTGATGCAGTTATTATGTAATACAGATTTATTATTATATTTGAAAGGTATAAAGTAGTCTTTGTTTTTCACTTTAAATTCTATTCCAACAGTAGTATTTCTCAAATCAATCAATATTTTATTTCTTTTGAGCCAGTCAAAGCCTAATATTAAAGGTCTTATTAAATTACCTACAATTAAAGTTTGTGTTTCAAAGACTACTTCATCTATCTTTATAGGCAATATGATCATCTGTTGTATTTTTGTGCTGCGCTGCCCAACAGCACCTTTTATTTGCATTGCTTTAACTGGCATTATTGATATTTTACAATTATTATCTTTAATTTGTAAATATAAACTTTCTGAAATGCATGTAACATCGCTCCCAGTGTCGAGGAGCGCGTCTATTTCTTTGTCAAATATTGAAACTTTAATTTCAGATCTCATATTCCCTATAAATTCCCTTTGATATTTATCTTCGTCTTCCTCGAAGACGGTTTGCACGAATAACTCCGTTATGGGCAAGTCCGACCTGGCTTTTAAGGTGTTTAATATGCTATTTACATTGTCGTTATAACCAAGGCCTTCTCTGTTAAAATTTGCTTTTAAAGTAATAGGTTTTCGCAACCCTCTATTGTTTTTACCCAATGTTTGACCAGGTCGCCAACCCAGTTTTAATAACATGTTTAATGCTTTAAAATCATCAAAAGTTGTCCAACGCACATTATTAATGCGAGCCCAATACTTGGCTTCACCTACTAAGCACTATTGTGCAATCGAAATTTCGAGACCATTAGATGGAACTTTCTTTAAATAATTGGTGAGATCTTCCAAAAATGATACTGGATGAGTATTTCCATTTCCAAATTTCGGCTTTTCTATTGTTACATTATGTACATTATATACAATATTTTGTCTAGGATCATTTACATGAGAGGTGCTCGCCCCGGACACCTCTCCTTGATTTATTTTAATTTGGTAATCTTTCGTTTGGTTAATAAATTTTTCCTCAAGATCCTTTGTTTTAACCTCAAAGGTTTTCACTGCATACTTAATTAATTTCTGAAGCATTTTCATCTCATCTTTAGACTTAGCCTTAATTGAGGTTGATTTTTTCTTATTTTTAGCCATTTTTAATTTTTATTACCACTTGTTTTTTTTTTGTTTTTTTTACACTTTTTGTGTCCTTCACTTACTTTAATTGAGTTGAGAATAATTTTTAATACCAGAAGTGTAAAAGTTTCTTACAGTATATTTAAGCAATAATTTTTAAAATTTATTATTTTAGTAGATTTTTCAAGAACATTTATCATTATTGTAATAAGCGCCCTCTATTATCCAGTAACGTCACTACTTATTTACCAAATTAGTTAGTGATTGACAACGTTTAACGCCATCGAGTAAGCCAGAAATTTTAGAAGCCAATTTAGCTTTTTTCTTCCAAGTGACCACCATAACACTGCAGGTCATTCGATATTTCGACGCCGAAGATTGTAATACTCGCTGCGGAATTAAGGGAAGTGCCCCGAAATTGAGAACTTGTATTATACAAAGCCTTTGTAACAAAGGGGTTCTTTTTAGCGATAAACGCGCAAACTTGTGAATGATTTGTATAGTGATTTATCGTAAAACGACTTTTAAGTTCAGTGCTTTCCTAAAATATGTTAGATTTAAAGTGTTTATTTGTAAAAAGAATGAATTTTAAAAACATGGAGGCGCTCTCTTATTAGATTTGTCGTTTCTCGAAGTGCCTTCGATGCCGACCAACCAATCATATGCTATTATTATAACGTTTAATGGACCGAGTGACGTTATTCAAGATGTCACCAATGTGACTGCTGTTTGAATTTAATCTTAGTTATTGGTACGGTTAATTAAGTATTCTATTTCATGACACCAAAATTACGTAAAATGTTAATGAGTTTTTCATTGATGGGAGTCATAATAAATAGATTTATAGAACAAAACAAGCATGCATATTCCTTATTATTATATCTATCGGCGCAAGAACAATAGTTCGTCAATTATAATGATTAATTACTCTGTTTAATACTTTTATTGTGTTAAAAATAGTTCATAAGCCATTTAATACTCACTTTTTGATGTAAAAATCTTGTGATTCACTCAATTCAATACTTGACCTAAAATTCATGTACACGTGCTTGCCACGCTATAAAAATGACCGCGCAGAGCGTTCTAGGTCAGTCTGGCTCGAGCAGTCGAACAGTACAGACCTCTCTAAATACATTGTTACGCTGTCAGTATAGTTGTGGTGTTTTCTTTGGAAGATTTAAGATGAGTGATCTCCATGAAATGTGTTACGAGTGGATTTGAAATCATCGACACCTATTTAATAAATTATTAAACATAAATGATTATTAAATATAGATATGTTTCAGATTTAATAAATTATAAAACCATAGAGTAACATAGGTAAAAATAATAAGATTAGTGGGTAGTTGTAACAGCGCTGTACACTATAAATTAAATTGCCAGAGGTATCTTGGTTCAGTTCAGTTCACTTCGGTCGTGTGCAAGCAAGTCGCTCTGCTAGTAGTTGTTATCATCTACATTAAGTATAATATAGTTATTGTGATTCGTTTATAAGGTGAATAAAAAGTGCTACAAGGTAATCTGTTTTACTTCATAGTTACTTATTTAAAACTTCAGAAGTGGGATCGTACTAACTATGTCCGGACCGTATATTGGAGGACTAGGAGAATGTAAGCGAAGATACGGCCACACTACAACCTCAGAAGAAGATGAGGATGACGAAATTTTTATTCAAAAAAAAAAGAACTTCAATGCTCACCAAAAGACGTCGTGTGTCTCCGATAGACGCGGAAGTTATACCCAAATTCTGCCCAGACGACCAAACCAGTAACGTTACTGGATGGCTTCATAAAATTGACCAGTTGGGTGACATATACGGATGGAATTGCAAGGATCGCCAATTTATAATGCAGTTACGCCTTGCTGGATCTGCTCGGGAGTGGTATGATGACCTTGACGATTATGCTCTTACTTGGGACGGGTGGAAGGAAGCACTTCAAACTGCGTTTCCTCGATCTACCGACTACGCAGACAGACTAGAAACAATGCTGGCAAGGTCAAAAAGTGACTATGAGACTATGACTAAATATTATCATGAAAAGTTATCACTTCTCAAAAAATGCAACATTAATGGTGAACATGTAATCTCCTGCATTATTCGAGGTTTACCACATGAATTGAGAGCTAATGCTAAAGCCTACAATTGTGAAACGCCAGAACAACTTTACTTCGGTTATCTGTCATCGCTTGAAAACTTTAAACGCTCGGAGACGTCCGCGTTTACACCACGCAATTCTATCTGGAGGAAAAATACACAAATTACTTCGGGTCGCCGTCAACTTGTTCCCAAGATCTGCTATGTGTGTCGACGACCAGGACATGAAAGGAAGGACTGCCAGCAGCGCTGTGATGTGTGTCAGCGTCTAGGGCATGCAACTGCTGCATGCTGGTATGCTACTGGAACTGCAGCCAACTCTGGAGTTGGTCCCATGCAACAACAGGCTTATAAGATTAGTGACGTATTACACGTTACGCTTAATAAATACCCACATATTTATAAAAAAAGAGTCATCGTTAATGGTATCAAATTGATGGCCTATATAGATACTGGAAGTAAGCTTAGCATACTTACTATTACACAAGCCCAAAAAATGAAACTTAAAACTCGGCCCTCAGTTATTGTAATGAAGGGTTTTGGAGGAGCCTGTTCATATTCGCTAGGTACTTGCCAAATTATTGTAAATGTTGATGATTTATTTTTGGTAGGAGATGTAGAGTTAACCGATTGCAAGCTACCAGATATAGACTTAATAATCGGACAATCAATGATAAATCAAGAAAATGTGAGCTTAGTTACGACGTCGAATCTCGTAAAATTTGTTCCAACCTTCACTTTAGGAGATGTCTTGACAAAAAACAGTTTTAACATAATTGAATATGTTTCAAAATTTCCAGTCTTTACAAAACTAGACGTCACTATACCTAGCCGAACCTATGCATACATTAGCGTAAGTGTCGACTATGACAGTAATACTGACAAAAACGAGCACGCATTCCTAACACATGCAGTATGTATTCAGCTAGGTGGGTTATCGTATTATATTCCAGAAGCCATTATTAATTCCAGTATGTCATATTTAAAGGTCCTAAATGTTGGGAATGAAACTATATCATGGCCTGCTAATAAACTCGTAGCTAGAGCAGAGATTTTAAAACAAAAAAATAATAGCTTTGAAACCAATACTCTTATTATAGACCAAATCACCATTAAGTCCGAAATTAAATTGTCCGATATCGATGTGGGTGAGTTAAATCATAGGGAAATAAATGTATTGCTACAATTATTGAATAGGTATGCTCATTCATTTGCCAGAGATACGAAAGATTTAGGATGTACTAACTTAATTAAGTTACACATAAAAACTATTTCTAACCAACCTGTGTATCGTAAACCGTACAGAGTTTCGCATAAGGAAAATGAAATATTGAACGGCAAAATAAATGAACTCTTGGAAGCAGGAATTATAAGAAAATCCACATCGGAGTATGCTAGTCCTGTTGTCCTAGTCAAGAAAAAAGGAGAGGATTATAGGCTTTGTGTCGATTATAGGGCGTTGAATGCTAATACTATTAAGGATCGATATCCCCTACCTCACATTGAAGACCAAGTTACCCATCTATCGGGTAAATCCTATTTTACAACACTAGACCTCGCTCAGGGATACTACCAAGTACCAATTGATGATGAGTCCATAAGAAAAACCGCGTTTATCACCCAATCAGGCCTTTATGAGTTTTTAAAAATGCCTTTTGGATTATCCAATGCACCAGCTGTATTTGCGCGACTAATCCAAGTAACTTTAGGGGAAGTATCTCACGAAATAGCTCTATATTTAGATGATGTTATGATTCCAACTATTTCAGTAAAAAGGGGATTAGAACTTTTGGAAGAAGTCTTGGGGTTACTTGAAAAAGCCAATCTAAAATTGAATTTAAAAAAGTGTTCATTTCTTAAAAATACCACTAATTATTTGGGCCATGAAATCTCTGCCGGTACAATACAGCCAGGTCGAGCTAAAATTAACTGCGTAGCTGAATATCGTCGGCCCCGAAATGTACACGAAGTCAGGCAGTTTATTGGATTAACGTCTTATTTTAGAAAATTTAAAATAAACTTTGCACAAATAGCACAACCCTTAACTGAACTCACTAAAAAGGATATAGAGTGGCATTGGGATTCCCAGCAGGAACAAGCATTTCGTACACTAAAGCAACGATTAATAGAAAGACCAGTTTTAGGCATATACGACAAGGATGCTAAAACAGAACTCCATACCGATGCAAGTAAACTCGGCTTAGGCGGGGTGCTCATCCAACACCAAAGAGATGGTAACTTAAAACCAATCGCATTTTTAGTAGAGTCACGACGAATGAAGAAAGATGTTATCATAGCTATGAATTGGAGACTCTAGCTGTTGTAGAATCCCTTAAACGTTTTCGTATATACCTTACAGGCATACCCGTAAATATAGTTACGGATTGTGCGGCTCTGCGCACTACGTTAGTTAAAAAGGATTTGATTCCGCGTATAGCCCGATGGTGGCTAACTATCCAAGATTTTGACCTAGAAATAGAGTACCGGCCAGGCGAACGTATGAAGCATGTTGATGCCCTGAGTAGGAACCCATCCTCGAATTTTGTTCTCATGATAGATAACGATGATTAGTTAAGAACACTGCAAATGCAAGATGAAGGTATTCAAAATATTCTCGCACAATTCCGCGAACAAAGCATTAATCCAGACTTAATAGCTAACTATGTAGTTAAAGATAACCTGCTATTTAGAAAAACTATTGGTGGAGAGAGATTTGTTATTCCTAAATTGGCCAAATATGGGTTGTTGCAAAAACTTCACGATCAGATAGGGTTTCGAAAAATGCGAGAAGACCATCAAAGCACAATTTTGGTTTCCGGGCATGACACGGTTCATACGTAAGTACATCAACGCTTGCTTACAATGCGCCTTCGGTAAGGGCAACCATGGCAAACTAGAGGGTGAACTACACCCGATAGACAAAGCAGCTTGTCCCATGCATACCATACACGCAGATCATCTGGGTCCTTTCATAAAAACTCGTAAAGGTAATACTTATATTCTTGTCGTTATTGATGCATTTACCAAGTTTGTTTTCGCAAGGGCAGCTAAGAACTGCAGCTCCATAGAGACCATAAGGCTGCTGAAAGACATACTATCCCAATTCGGTAATCCAAAAAGAATTATTACAGACAGAGGCAAGGCATTTACTAGCCGCTATTTTAAACTTTTCTCCATTGAGTTACAATTTAAACACATTTTAAATGCTATAGCATGCCCTCGTTCCAATGGTCAAGTGGAGCGTGTAAACCGTACTTTACTAAATGGCTTAAATACAATTTCTGACAGTGAATGTACATGGGATAACAAATTGTCAGATGTAGTCTGGGAAATTAATAATACCCCTAATTCTACTACGGGACATACACCTTTTAGTTTAATGTTTGGCCACGACAATTCACGTTTCCCATGTTTTCCTAAAGAATTTCCCCAAGATTATGATTCTCAACAACAAAACTTACAAACTAGAAGAAAAGATGCTAAATTTCGTATTGACAGGAATATGACCTTAATGAAAAGTAGATTTGATCGTAAGCACAAAAAATGCCGAAAGTATAAAATAGGAGATTTGGTTTTATGGAAAGGGGGTGTGTCTAGAGATACAACTGCTAAAGTCACCAAAAAGCTTAATAGTTCATACACAGGTCCATATAAAGTTTGTAGGGCCGAGCAATCACTCGATCTCGTTATAAAATAAGTAGTATTATGGGTATGAAGGGTTATAGAAGGTTCAGTGCCGTAGTCAGCGGTGAGAGTCTACGACCATATAAATCAACACTATCAGATGATGACAGTTCATCTAGCGACCGTGAAGTAGACAGGGATGATCTGATAGACCTCTTAGAAAGTTAAGCATGTCTACTGCCTTTGTTGGAAATGCGTGTATCTAATTAATTTCTAGAATAATATTAAAAGAAACCATTTATTATTTCTTAATTATTTTTGCCTTATTATTTAAAATTGAGTTGTTATAAATTGTTTTGTTATAAAGTTGTCAACTAAAATGTTGTTTTAAATAAAACATATTGTTTAAGTCTGTTGGTTTAATTTGATATAATAACTCTAAATAAATATTTACAAAGCAGCTAAAGTACAGATATAGCTAAGTCTAACAATAATTAAAATAATAGGACAGCTATGTGAACAAGTCCATAACAAATAGAAGAAGGGACAGCTAGGTGAACAAGTCCATAATAGTTAAAAGTGTAGGACAGCTATGTGAACAAGTCCATAACAATTAAAAGAGGGACAGCTAGGTGAACAAGTCTATAATAGTTAAGTGAGGGACAGCTATGTGAACAAGTCCGTAACAATTAAAACAAGGGATAGCTAAGTGAACAAATCCATAATAGTTAAAAGTGAGGGACAGCTATGTGAACAAGTCCATAACAATTAAAATAAGGGATAGCTAAGTGAACAAGTCCATAATAGTTAAAACAAGGGGACAGCTAAGTGACCAAGACCATAATAGAGTTTTAGGTCCCGGACAGCTAAGTGACCAAGTCCATAATAGGTATAATACAAGGACAGCTAAATGAATAAATCCAGAATTGTTGAAACACTAGGATGGCTAAGTTAACCAGCCCCAGATGGCCAATGTACAAGAACTATTAGGTAAACAACTAGGTATATTAATAGTATAAACCTTTATTAATGACTTGTAATAAAACAAAATAAATCTCATCTACATGATTTCTTTTGGAAATGGCACAATTTACTGCTCAATTTTCTTTTCTCCTTTCAGAGGCAAAATAGTGAATATAATGAGCGCCGCGGGACGCGTACGACTCAGGATGGCCGAATGTTACGAGTGGATTTGAAATCATCGACACCTATTTAATAAATTATTAAACATAAATGATTATTAAATATAGATATGTTTCAGATTTAATAAATTATAAAACCATAGAGTAACATAGGTAAAAATAATAAGATTAGTGGGTAGTTGTAACAGCGCTGTACACTATAAATTAAATTGCCAGAGGTATCTTGGTTCAGTTCAGTTCACTTCGGTCGTGTGCAAGCAAGTCGCTCTGCTAGTAGTTGTTATCATCTACATTAAGTATAATATAGTTATTGTGATTCGTTTATAAGGTGAATAAAAAGTGCTACAAGATAATCTGTTTTACTTCATAGTTACTTATTTAAAAAATGTTATTTTCAGCTGTGCTGACGTCACACTTTTTAAAAACAACAAGGAGCTCGTTCCTCCGTCATCAGAAGTGGGATATCAAGGGATCCCTTCGCAAGCCACTTCCTCGTCAGCTCGTTTACCACCTGAGCAACTGGAACCAAGCAACAAACAGCATGAAGAGCCTGTGCTGGTTACCAATACGCCAATACCAATAAGCCATACTACCATCAAGACCACATACCTACCCGGATCAAGGAATGCGGATAAATGGAATACCACCTCAATTCCTTATGCAAATGATGAAGACGATGCAGAAAATGTCAGAACGTTTGTGCGCTCCACCCACTGAATCAAAAATAAGGATCAAAGACGTTTACTTGCCATCATTTGACCCGGATACCCACATCGGATTACGAGAATGGTGTCAGCATATAGACCAAGCCATTGAAGCTTATAAGCTGAGTGACTTTGACGTTCGTATGAAAGTCTGCAGCCAATTGAAGGGACGTGCAAAATTGTGGATCGATGATTGGATGGTGACCACTAGTACATGGGAACAGTTGTGGAAGAACATCATCACTACATTTGAACCTGAGAACAGATACTCCAGAGACATCGTTATGTTCAGATTCGTCATAGATTCGTCAAAGGATATTGCAGAGTACTTATCACGGTTATGGATCCTATGGAGGAGGATCACCAAGGACAAGATGGGAGATGAGCACGCTGTGGAGGCAGTGATTGGATGTGTTAATGACGAGCGTTTGCGCATCGAATTACTGAACGCTAGAGCAACCACTGTGCCGGAATTGATTTCAGTGGCTACATCTATACGGAAGAAGCGTTCTCATGTAAACGCAAGTTCTACAATACCTAACAAACGTTCACGATTTGCGGACAATCAACAATCAACATCAAGCTGCCGTATATGTAAGAAGACAAACCACTCAACAAATGATTGCAGATTTAAACCTTCGGAGTCTAAACCCGAAGATGGAAACAAGGATGCTAAAGCACAAACTCTACCTACCTGTACCTATTGCAAGAAACCAGGCCACACTTATGAAAGCTGCTTCAAACGGGAACGCTCGTTGACTTCAAACGTTAACTAAGTAGCAAGCAATAAGCTAGCTCATATCTTCATCAAAATAGGAAAAAAAAATACTGCCGGCTGTGTCTGATAGAATGTTCAATCATGCGAAAATCGGTTGCTATAGTTCTACAATTTCCAGCACTATCTTTAACTAAGCTTACAACCATTTGTGTTATAGATACCATCAGTATTGAGCTGGAGTTTTATGTGCTACTATTATGACTATGAAATGTCAACAGATATCCTAGTGGGTATGAACCTCATTTAAGATACCAATCTGAATAGAGCTCTGATGTCATTGCTAGGAGCAGCTGCACAGGTCTATGCGGATGATGTACTGAGTAAATGCGCAAACTTTTCAGAAGAAATATCACACCTGGAGCGGATTCTCATAGCACTACAAAATGCTGGATTTTTATCAACGTCGAGAAGTGCAGTTCTTCATAGTCTCTTCTTCCAGTTGCTCAGGTGGTAAACGAGCTGACGAGGAAGTGGCTTGCGAAGGGATCCCTTGATATCCCACTTCTGATGACGGAGGACCGAGCTCCTTGTTGTTTTTAAAAAGTTTTTAAAAACAACAAGGAGCTCGGTCCCCCATCATATCCTAAAGCATTTCAAACTTAGTGACCTTCAACAACATTATGTATACTTTGGTGTCGAAACAGTAACATTCCTAAAACGGGATTTTACATTATATTTAATAGCGCCACCTACTGAGAAATAGCTGAAATGTTTACCTAATATATAGTCAGCGTAGTTTTGCTATGTTTCATTAGAGGGCGTCACACACGCGCAAGCTTAAAGTTTTTGTATGCAAAAGTTCTCAATGCCCGCTTTATAGCATATATAGGTATATTTAAATCTCTTTAGAGATAAGTAACCAGTATGGTGTAAAGGAGTGAGCCACTTAAGATTAGTCAAGGAACGGAAAGAATAATTTTGAGAATTTTCCAATTGTTGAAATTTGGATTTCAGATATTCGGAAGCACATGGATTCTTCAGAACTTTGAAAAGGGTGCAGAATATTCTAACATATCTGCGCTGACAGATAGACAGGAAATTTAGTTGAGTACGAAAAGAAGATACATGGTCGTATTTACGAAGGCCATAAATGCAGTAGTTAAACAGACGATCCAATACATTAAAATGATGTGGAGACAGGTTTGTGCAACATACATGGACGTAATCAATGATTGGTAAATGACTGGACAAATAAAATTTTTGTATTGGTGGGAAGAAAGTTTATGTAATATAAAATGCGTTTGTAACATTTATTTTTTGAAATTTGTATGACCAATGAGCGAATTGGGTTTCTAGTAGTGATAATATGACGTAACCGTTTGTATGTGTGCTCCCGGCGACATCGGTTCTCGTACAAAATAAGGTTTGTAGTCATTCTATTGTGTATTATATTATATGCCGAATACTATAGAAACTGGGTTTCACAACATTTTGTTTTAAGAAATGTATAGTTTTATTACAAATGAATACTTTCCGCAAAAACATACCTGTGACAAAAGCATGGAAAATATTTTATGAAAGAATCAAAAAGACTAGACCAAAACAATACGTTAGTAACGAAAAAGACTGTAAAGAAATATTCAAGGAGAACTAAACAATAAATAATAGCAACCGTAAAGAAATATGAAATGAAATGACGAGATAAAGTAGTATCACTGTAAAAAAATATTGATGTTTACAAAGGTAAAAACTAAACCTTTCTTAGTGATAATGAATTAAGAATCAACTGCTTAATTATTTACAACTGCGGATTAAATATTACCCTTGTACTCCCATGTTTTTTTTTTGTTTTGATGTGACTAAATTGTAAGTGCCTATCAACATATGTAATAAAAAACGGCGTACACTTAGATACTAATGGTTTACTCTCGCTACGGAGTGAGAATAAAGGGAAAAAATAAGTAAGAATAATCAGGATAATATTCACAATATCAATCCTGTAGATTAAACCATATACATATAATAATTTACTTAATTGAGTTTTGAGTTCCTTAGTGCATGAAATAACGTTTTAATTTTTTTCATTACATCATTACAACCTTTCACAAGTCCACTGCTGAACATAGGCTTCCCCCAAAAAATTCCACAAAGCACGGTCCTGAGTCACCTGCATCCATCGATTTCCTGCATGTCTTACCAGGTCGTCACTCCAACTAGTGGGAGGTTGCCCTACACTTCGCCTACCGTTAAAAGACTCGAGACTGCCCCTCAAAAACCTTTTTTCCTCATCGGTTGTATATGACTGGCTCATTGCCACTTCAGCTTACTAATCTGTTGGGCTATGTCAGTCACTCTGGTTCTACAGCGGATAACCTCATTTCTAACATTATCACTCATAGAAACTCCGCGCATAGCTCTCTCCATAACTCGCTGAGCAATCTTGAGCTTCATCATACGGCCAGCAGTGAAGGACTACGTCTCAGATCCATAAGTTATCACTGGCAACACG